GGAAGGAGACGGTATGAGCGTACCGCTGCCTCCACTACACGCACACACGCCTTCCACTTGGCACTCACCGCCCATATCCACAGTGCTGCCCTCACTGGGCAATTCGACGTACACCACATCTCCCAGAGATTTCTGGGCGTAGTCCGTGATGCCGACTTTTCCGATGTTGGTAGCATCGTCGAAAGAGACCCATTCGTGCTCTGCGGTGAAGCGCTTGGAGATGGCCTCAGCGCGGACGGTGGTCTGCAAGGAGCGAGAGAGGCAAGCTGCGGGAAGGGCCGCAGGTGAGAGTAGAGGACGGCGGATGGCGCTGCTACTGCTGCTGGTGCGCAGAGCTTGCCTCGTTGCTGGCAGAAGAGAGATCATCTTGGCGTGATGTTGCTTCCGCAAACGTTTTCACGAGGGATTTGGAGATGTTGGCGGTGTGTAGGTGTGGGAGGATGACTGATGAGCATCACGGTCCAATGCTCCGTCTCGTCGATCTCTCTCTCGTCTCTGGCCTTGCGAAGATGCGTGAAAGGGATGGCCAGGAGAGACGTGTGGACGTGCGCAAGGAACGCGGGTGCTGCTATCACGTGACGGCTTGGCCCAGTCAAGAGTATTCAAAACCTGACTCGATGCTCGCACCCGATGTCTTACCAGTAATTGATGAAAGTGATCAAATTGTCGAATTCAATTTCTGTAGGTTGGCACATCGGCTTGAGATGCGGGCTGGTGCCCAGGGCATGCATGCTGCAGCATATGCATGCAGCAGCACCGCGGTGTATGTGCTGCATGCCCCAAGGTGCCCTGATGCACGCAAGGGGACCTATATCAGTCGTGATGTGCCTATTCCGCGTCTTTCAATTTGTTGCAGGTCGTTGAGTCAACTTTTGACTTTCACGCTAGATTCTTGACTTGATTTGATTTGACTTGATTTGATTTCATTTCAGGAATGAAGACATCTTAATTCAAAGTTGGCGTACGGGTGACGTTTCAGTCCGCGCAAGAACATTCTTTGGTCGAAAGGTCTGAATTTCTCAACGTAAAGACCGAGCCACAGTTCGATTTGAGGCGCGCCCCTGTAAAATACGACGAATGAGCAGCCTGACGTTGATCAAATGAAATCACTCAGAATCCAAATCAAGAATCTTGAATGGAGACGTCTTTGGAACGCCGATTCGGACCCCACGCTAATTGGCGCAGGATTTCAAATCTGCGCCGTGGCCGTTCAATTGTTTTATTCTAGAGTGAATGCTTCGTGGCCAGTATTTGTAATCACATCAATTTGACTACCGTCTTCTACATGTATACCTGCCGCGCTCTTGTGTTTGGCAGCCGCGCGACCGAAAGGGGGGGTCGCTCATCGCGTCCCATCCATTCGACCGACCTGCCTGCCTCGATGACCCCTGCCCGTCCCTTCTTCGCCTTTGCTTCCCTCCCCCTACCCCTCACGCAGCCATTGCCCCTGTTCCGGTCGTGCTTTGCATCCAACGATAGAGGACAAGATTCTTGATGGGCCTTTAGCTCTTTGATTTCCCGCTCTTCTCGTCATTCGCTCGAGCTGCTCACAAGGTATTGCCGATATATCCCTCATCTCCGAAATTTAGACCATCCCCACTGGCCGTTCCCTCGGAAACCTTTGCACTTGGCCTGCGCACTCCCAAGCTCGCCAGACAGCAATCTAGATTCGCGCCTTGCGACTCGGCCTCTCAGCTCTCGCTACCAACCATCATCACTAGCTGGCACCACACACGCTCGTTTCATCTCACAAACACACTGCACTGCGCGGGCGCATTCCCCAACTTCCAAGGCAAACCTCAGCCACGCTTTGTTTTGCTTGTCAGGTGGAAGGCTGTAAAAACGCCTGCTCAAGCACTCGGCAGTCGACGATCGCCGACACGTACACACCATGACGCGGCTGTTTGCTCTGTCAGTGGGCGCTTTGGCGCTCGCATCTTCGGCTGTGCTTGCTCAGAGCTCCGCGGGTGACGTCCAGTCGGCTAGCGACGCATCTTCACCGCTGCCCTCGGCTTCGACTTCACAATCAGCACCCGTCGCAAATGCCACGGCGTCCGCTGCACCCTTGCTTCCTGACAGCGCTACGATGGACGTGCCTGGCGCGACAGAGTCCCCGCTAGAATTTGCCAGCTCGGACACGGCTTGCACAGAGACGTACAGAGTGGTGGCGGGTGATACGTGCGACAAGGTTGGTCAAAAGACCTGGACCAGCACCTACCACATCATGCAATTCAACCTCATCAGCGGACCACTGTGCTACGGCCTGGAGATTGGCAGCACGCTCTGCCTGGGTCGATACGGAAACGATTGCCAGTTGGTTCACCGGGTGCGAGGATCGGACACGTGCGAGTCGATGGCCCGCGACTACTCCATCTCCAGAGACACGCTCGTCAACAACAACCCCTCCATCAACTGCGACAACCTGTACGATGGCTTGATGGTGTGCGTCACCGACGGATCCGTCAGACCCCCTCCGGACTCTAGCCTCGACCATAACGGTATCAGGCAAAAGGTTGCCGCTCTGGAAGGCGCCAATGAGGGAAACTCTACAGCTTCGGCCGCAGCAAGCGGTGCTAGCACCGCTGTGCAGAGCGGAAGTGCTATTGGTGCAAAGGTCGCTCAAGCAGCCGGCAGAAAGAGCAAGGCTCAGAGCAACAAGAGCAAGGCGGATGGAAAAGGTGCTGCCTCGAAGCATAACAACAGCAAGTCTAACAAGGACAAAGACACCAAGAAGGAGCACGCCAAGGCGCCCGCGGACCACAAGGCTCCCACAAAGCACAAAGTCAAGCATCACAAGGCAGAGTCTGCATCTCACAAAACCACGGCTTCGGCTTCGGCTTCCGCTTCGGCTTCGGCTTCAGCGTCAGACTCCTCGAACGCCTCTTCTGGCTCAGCTTCTGCGTCTGAGAGCGCAGCGAGCGCTACCGCGTCGGCCGACTCTGCAGATTCTGGAGCTCAGACGCCCAATCAAGGCCAGACTCCAAGCGATGGGCAGCAGCAGCAGCAGCAGCAAGCGCCGGCTTGGATGCAGCAGGCTGGAGCTGCCGCTGCAGCAGGTGCACAAATTGTCGCAGGCCTTGCAGCATACGGTAACGAGTTCAAGGACCGATTGACCACTCCTGCCGAACAGTAGTCCGTCAATCCTTTGACCGGAATTCATTCTCGGAGCAATTGGAACCATCGTCCCTTCCACGCGACTCGAGGTCTCATCTCAAGATGAGGAGATGAATCTTTCCCACGGATCAGCATCTTTTCTTCCCTCTTTCGGCCCCCTCGATACAGACGCGCATAGTCAGCCCTTCGTCTCTCGCACGCTCTCTCTCTCTCTCTCTCACGGCGGACACACGGCCGGCTCGTGCCCCTCTCCGCTCATATACCAACGCGATTCAAGGCGTCCTTCCGTGCAGCGTTGTAAGCGGCGTCGCTACTTCGCTTTTCTCTTCTACTGCGATTCATTTGCATCGCCAATTCCTCTTTCCTTCTTCACTTGCCCCAGCTTCGCGACGCAATCGATGATATTGCAATCCAGATGTATCGATCATGCAGTGTGCCGAGCAGATTGCGATAGGATGTGGAACGGCAGCGGCCTTGGATTACGCGAGGACGTGGTGAGATGCGATTCCAAAGCTTCACAGACGGGTTCGAGCGGTAGCAAAGTACATTTTGATGCGTGGGAGAAAATGGAGAAAAATGGTGGGGCAAAAATGGCAAGGGATAGTAGGCGCAACGACGAGTCTTTAATGTCCAAGGAGACGAACAAGATGGCTAGACAAAGTCTTCCTTCTTGTAAGAGACACCGATCTTCTTCATACGTCTCTGTCGCGACCACTGCCGGATCGTGTCTCGCTTCTTGAAAGCGACGAACCCGGCGATGGCGAGCGCGAGGACGATGAACACGGTAGGGAGAGCAGCTTCGAGAGCGACTTGACTGCTCGACTTGGGCCTCTTTGCCACCTTGCGCGGCTTGTCAGCAAGGTTGGAGACGTAGTAAGGGTCAGCAGCGCGAATTGC